AAAGAATTGGCAACTCATTCAGACAAACTGCCAACAATTTCCAAAAGCAAAATTAAAATGTTCGTGGTTATATGGAAGTAGTGTACATCCATGCTCAGCTGTAAATCATTATTGAAATAATTCACCATTTGATAGTAAACTTAAGGTGTCGCGTTCAATAAGATATTCAATAAGTAAAGATGTTTAAGCAAACATTCCCATGTATCGGAGTTGAAGTCAAACCTTACTGAATTGTTTATAATAGCTAACAAACGGTAGTATTACTCAAAGGTGAAAAATTATTTATTGGATGGGAAGTTCTTTTCCTTGAGATACATAACATGCAAAAAATAATCAAATATTTTTGGTATAGGTAATTTTTCACATTTTCTCACCCCAGCAAGCTAGTGCCCGGCCCTCCAACTCCCTCTGTCCTACAAATCCAGAAAGGTAAATAATATTGCAAAGAATGGTTGTACTTGCCCTACACAGTATTTTCGCATGGAAAATCGTCTTACTTCGCTTTTCCAAGAGTAAAAACCTTTTCTAAATTTTTTTATGACTATCATGGAAATACAAAAAAGCTAAAAATTGGTCAAGGAAAGATTGAATAATTACTTCAAAAATGTTGTTTTTAAGAAAGTGTGTATTGTTCGAAGAACGTATCTCTATAATACTATATAAAGGTTTATTAGAAATTTGTTTCCAACATCAATAAGCTTTGTTTTTAAATTTTGTTGATATTCTGTTATATGAAATTACATGTACTCATTTTTTAAATAAATAACTCCATTTCATTACAACTTTCCTTCTTATGGGAAGCAAAGGAGAGGGTGGGGATTAACATGCAGAGTTCTCGCAAGCGGTAAGTAGTTCTTAATAATGAAAGTTCTATGGAACTTTCAATTCATGTTCATTGAGAACAAAGAGTCAATAATGTCATTTCATTAATATATTCCAGTATCATTGAAGGAACTTCAATATCTCAGTCATTTTTGCCCTATTTGTAACCAAAGAAATTATGTGAATAGTTTGCAATTTCAAGTATATGTGGACTTTTTGATTTTGTCTCGGTGAATATTGATGCAATAATTTTTATTCTCTTCTATTTTTCCCAATTTAATAAATTGTGAAAATCTCATTAGTTTTAACCTTCCCCCCTATATGTCAATGAGTATTCAAGGTAATATTTTTCTTTTTTCCCCAATTTAATGTAGGCCCAACTATTATGATGTTATGTATTTTTCGTCTAATTGCACTACTTATGGAGCTTTCACTTGTAAAACAAATAATTTTTGAGTTTACATGTTTTGTTCAAGCCCTGTTTTAGGTCCTAGCTTTTTATTTTAATTTTTCTTTAGCCGATTTTCTCCAGACTTTCTTATGAGTCCTTTTATCTCAAAAATACTTACGATGATAGATTTCAAATTGTGCTTTCATAAATAAAATTACAATTCCACTTTACTTATATGTTAAGTAGCTTTTAAAAAAATAATTAATTTGTTTTTAATGTTTTTTACATTATAGATTGTTGTATTTTACATTTACATTTACTGATTCAATAATTTAATTAAATATCACGTAATGATTCAGTCAAATGATATATACAGCACAAGCAAATTTAACCAATAATATCAAAATTAGTCAATTCTTACTTAAATATATGCGTTCAATACAAGAAGTAGTATGTTCCAGTCATAATGTGTAGGTGTGTTTAATATAAGATTTAAAAACCAATTCGAACCTATTGTTTAAAATTCGCCCCCAAAAAAGATAAATATCATCTTGAAGTATATCTATGTTAATGTCTCCCACTATTGAAATATTTTTAAGGTTCGTTGTTCATTGTAAGTAGGTATTAACAGATCATAGATAAACGTTTAGTCAATTATTCATGTGATCTGTTTTATAAGCTGTACTGAAGAAAAACTGACTTTGTCAGTTATTTATTTCTGTTTCAAATAGCTTTAGATCATGCCCCAATATTTATTTTCCAGAATATTTAAAATAATATTACTTTTAATATGCATACAGGTTCAATCTGGTTCCAGTATGTTCTGTTTCAATACAAGGTTCAATATGAATACAGGATTGTTTTTTTTACTTTAACTATTATGCTAACAAAAATAATAGTTATCAATTTCATACAAACCAGGTAATCTGTTTATAGCGTTTCCATACAAAATATTGTACAATGTGGTTCTGCATTCATTTATTTAGAGGTGAACTTGAAATTATCAGATTTTTTGTTTAGACCTTCTTAGTTTGGATATCTTGAATAAAAAAATAACACCTAAATCCACGTAACAGTTATTATTTCTGACCCCAAAGTTGAGCTAAATTGAGTACCTCAAATAAGAAAACTTTTAAAGCGTGAGAAATGAAAAAATAGCATTCGCCAAGGTTTGATGAGAGAGTGAGAGTTGTTATGAGCAGAAATCATGCTATAACATGTAATTAGGATTTTTAATGGAACCAGAGGGAAACTTGAGGTACTCTAGATAATATTGGAAAACCTTCTGGGATAGTATTCCCATATTTTCACCAAATTGAGTTCTATATAATGTAATTAGAGAACCAGTTTAATAAAAGACCAGAAAAAGCCCGAAAGGCAAAAGCAAAGAATGATCACTGAGTCAAAGTCTTACTAAAATCTGGGAAAGTGCAGTCATCCTGATATTTATTTTCTATGCCTATTTAGGTAATATTTGAATGTAAGAAATCAGTTGGATTGATGATCCTTTAACTCATGAATCCCAATTGTCTAGTGCAGAAGATAAGACCATTTTGGGTTCAGTTTATCCGATGATTATGAGTCAAACAGCTGCGTATGTGCACTTAAAATTGAGATAAAGTGATAGTGATGTCGTTTTTACTTCCTTGATTTGAAAATTGGCAATATGCGGTTTTGCGCATTCCCATGGGGAAAAAAGCAGGTATTCCATCAGGTCCTTTACTGCCTGTAAATGTCAGAAGATTATTTATTTTTCTTGTGTGGTCAAGGTTCAATTCAATTAAATCCATTTCTAGTTTACTTCAAACGGACAGTCTGCCCAGCAGCGCAGTCAGGTTTCAGAAGTGAAGCTATGTCAAGGCCAACGACTGATGTTTTCTTATTAGAAGCTTTTTCTTTAATTTTTTGCTTGATTGGCAATATATTTTTATTTGTTATGTTTAGATATTTATAATTAATTTAATTATTTATTTGAATGATATTCTCTTTTACAATAGAAAATAGTAAAAAAACTACATACATTTGGGAAATGCCTCTATCTGATTCTGGGAGGGATTTGTTCCAATGAGCGAATGCCACTAGTAATTTTATGGATTACAGAGATTAAGCATTTGGACTCTACTGCTGTCAGAATTCTACAGTTGCATCTTTAGTAAAAAGGATTTGATTAGTCTGATATCAACGTATTTTTTTCCTGCAAGAAAAATAAAATGAACAACATTGTAAATTCTTCAACTTATCCCATTTGTTATTTTAATGAATGTGATTTCAATTTCAGAGGACGATTGTCTTCCAGGTCAATTTTCCACATGGACAGAGTCCTGTATGGCAAGAATTGAGTGTTGTGAGAGTGTTCTTAAACCATCACGTGCCCACGAAAGTAAAATATTTTCAGTTGCGAGCTGTTAGTTTTTTGGTTTATCCTGCATAATTGTGTATTTTTTAAATGCACGCTCTCAGTATATACTTTTTGGGCAAACACGTACAGTATTTGCTATTGACATTGCTCATGATAGTGGATGTTTCACTTGTGAACACATCAATAAATAATTCTTTACTTTAAAAAACCTGACTTGGAAAGTAAATTGGACGAAGATTAAAATTGCTACCAATACTCTGGAGCAGGGGCTTTCGGGAGCAGGGCATGTGGAATTTTATTGTAAAATTAAAAGTAGAGTTAGCCTCACGGTTCTACACTGAAGTCACTTAATGGAGACTTGGCTTCAACAGTGCTGAAAACAGACATAAAGTCGTTGGTGAATGAAGCTGAATGCCCTTCAGTCTTCTCATTGAACAATTGCACAATGCATCTTATTTTGAGTTATTGTATATTGTCTCAGTTTATGTATATAACAGTTTGGGTGTGTGTTGTATTAGGGTGAAAAACATCTTACATTACATGCGAAGCTGGCAGATGTAACTAGGATTTGATAGATGGCCCTGAAGCCCTTCTCAGTTGGACAGCCGTTGCTCTAGAATCGTACGGACCAACATTAATCTAACACAGGGGGTTCTGGAAGGAATTAATTTTTATTCCCAAAGAAATTCTGTTATTATATTCAATTGAAAGAATAGAATGCAAATAAACAGCTTTCGTTGCTGTAGGAGAGTATTGGTGGGTGTTAAGAGCGTTAATAGTAGTACCAAACCTTTTTATGTGTGAATCTCTGAAATCATTTCGTTGCTCCCATCATCCCTTATTCTCACTTTCTTGTATACAACATTACAGTTGGCTCTCATAATTGAATGTACACATTAATTGATACCATAATTCTTCTCATATGAATATTTCTGGAAATAAAAAATCTAATTTTATATTTGAGTTTCCAAGGACCGCATCCAATTTTGAAAGAAGAAAACTTTCTGTATTAGGTGCGAAAATTTAATATTTGTGTGATCCCTACTAATAACAAGCGGCTTTGAAAAACATACCAAGTTGCAAATGTTTTCTTGGTACAAAAGTTGTGACATTAGCTGATGGTCAGATTTGCCGTTCAGTATCATGAAATTGGAAAATGACCCGAGAGAAAGATGACAATGGAAAAACAAATACTTATTTGAATTTAGCTATGAGGGAAAGATCACTACAAGGTATTGCAATAACAAATGGTATTAACCTCATTCAACTGATTGCAAGGTATGCGAAGCCCTGCTCCAGAGTATTGGGTACAATTTTAATTTCGTCCAATTATTCCAAGTCAGTTTTTTAAAAGTAAGAATTATTTATTGATGTGTTCACAAAGTGAAACATCCACTATCATGAGCAAGTCCAATAGCAAATACTTACGTGTTTCCAAAAAGTATATGAGAGCGTGCATTTAAAAAATAAACAATTATGAAGGATAAACCAAAAACTACAGCTCCAACTGAAAATATTTTAATTTCGTGGGCACGTGATGGTTTAAGAAACACTCTCACACTCAATTCTTGCCATACAGACTCTGTCCATGTGGAAAATTGACCTGAAGACCAATCGTACTCTGAAACATTGAAAATCACATTCATTAAAAATAACAAATGGAGATAAGTTGAAGAATTTACAATGTGTTCATTTTATTTTTCTTGCAGAACAAAAATAAGGTTGATATCAGAATATCAAATCCTTTTACTAAAGATTGCACTGTAGAATTCTGACAGCAGTAGAGTCCAAATGCTTAATATCTGTAAATCCATAAAATTACTAGTGGCATTTGTCATTGAACAAATCCCTCCCAGAATCAGATGAGGCATTCCCAAATGTATGTAGTTTTTACTAATTTTCTATTGTAAAAGAGAATATCATTAAATAAATCAATTAAATTAATTATAAATATCTAAAAATTAACAAATAAAAATATATTTGAAAATCAGCAAAAATTAAAAAAAGCTCTATAAGAAAACATCAAGTCAGTTGGCCATTGCACATAGCTTCACTTCTGAAAACCTGACTGCGCTGCTGGGCAAGACTGTCCGTTTGAAGTAAACTTAGAAATGGATTAAATTGAATTGAACCTTGAACCACACAAGAAAAATAAATAATCTTGACATTTACAGCAGTAAAGGACCTGATGGAATACCTGCTTTTTTTCCCCATGGAATGGAAAACCTTCATATTGCCAATTTTCAAATCAGGAAGTAAAAACGACATCACTATCACTTTATCTCAATTTTAAGTGCAATACCGAAGCTGTTTGACTCCATAATCATGGATAAACTGAAACCCAAAATGTCTTATCTTCTCACTAGACAATTGGGATTCATGAGTTAAAGGATCATCAATCCAACCTGATTTATTACATTCAATATATCCTAAATAGCATAGAAAATAAATATCAGGATGACTGCACTTTCACAGATTTTAGTAAGACATTTGACTCAGTGAATCATTCTTTGCTTTTGCTTTCGGCTTTTCTGGTCTTTTATTAAAATGGTTCTCTAATTACCTTATGAATAGAACTCAATTTGTGAAATATGGGAATACTATCCCAGAAGGTTTTCCAATATTATCTAGAGTACCTCAAGTTACCCATCTGGGTCCATTAAAATCCTAAATTACATGTTATAATGATTTACTCTCATAACAACTCTCATTTTAAACCTTGGCGAATGCTATTTTTTCAATTTCTCACGCTTTAAAGTTTTCTTATTTGAGTACTCAATTAGCTCAACTTTGTCAGAAAATATAACTGTTACCCGTGATTTAGGTGTTATTTTTTTATTCCAAGATATCCAAAACATAAGAAGTCTAAACAAAAAAATCTGATAATTTCAAGTTCACTATAAATGAAATGAATGCAGAACCACATTGTACAATATTTTGTATGGAAACCTATAAAACAGATCTACCTGGTTTGTATGAAATTGATAACTATATTTTGTTTAGCATAAATAGTTAAAGTAAAAAAAACAAACCTGTATTCATATTGAACCTGTATTGAACCAGAACATACTGAACCAGATTGAACCTGTATGCATATTAAAAGTAATATTAATTTTAAATATTCTGAAATAAATATTGGGCATATCTAAGCTATTTGAACAGAAATAATAACTGACAAAGACAGTATTTTCTTCAGTACTATAAAACAGATCACATGACATAAATTGACTAACGTTTATTAATGATCTGTATACCTACTTACATGAAAAAACGAACCTTAAAAATAATTTCATAGTGGGAGACATTAACATAGATATACTTCAAGATGATATTATATCTGGCGAATATTTAAACAATAGGTTAGAATTTGGTTTTAAATCTTATATAAACACACCTACACATATGACTGGAAATACTACTTCTTGTATTGACCATATATTTAGTAAGATTGATAATTTTGATATTATTGTTAAATTTGCTGTGTGTATATATCATTTGACTGATCATTACGTGATATTAATTAATATTGAATCAGTAAATGTAAATGTAATACAACAATCTAATAATGTAAAAAACATTAAAAACAAATTAATTATTTTTTTAAAAGCTACTTAACATAATAAGTAAAGTGAATTGTAATTTTATTTATGAAAGCACAGATATTGAATCTATCATCGATAAGTATTTTTGAGATAAAAGACTCAATAAGAAAGTCTGAGAAAATCGCTAAAAAGAAAAATTAAAATAAAGCTAGGAACCTAAAAAAGGGCTTGAACAAAACATGTAAACTCAAAAATTATTTGTTTACAAGTGAAAGGCAATCCACTAAGTAGTGCAATTAGAGAAAAATACATAACATCCAATAATAAGTTGGGACATACATTAAAATTGGAAAAAGAAAAATATTACATTGAATTACTATTGACATATAGGGGGAAGGTTAAAACTCAATGAGATTTCACAATTTATTAAATTGGGAAAAATAGAAGAGATAAAAAAATTATTGCATCAATATTCACCGAACAAAATCAAAAGTCACACATATACTTGAAATTGCAAACTATTCACATAATTTCTTTGTACAAATAGGGCCAAAAATGACTGAGATAATTGAGTTCCTTCAATGATACTGAATATAATAATGATGACATTATTGACTCTTTGTTCTCATGAACATGAATTGAAAGTTCCATAGAACTTTCATTATTAAGAACTACTTACCGCTTGCGAGAACTCTGCATGTTAATCCCCACCCTCTCCTTTGCTTCCCATAAGAAGGAAAGTTGTAATGAAATGGAGTTATTTATTTAAAAAATGAGTACATGTAATTTCATATAACAGAATATCAACAAAATTTAAAAACAAAGCTTATTGATGTTGGAAACAAATTTCTAATAAACCTTTATATAGTATTATAGAGATACGTTCTTCGAACAATACACACTTTCTTAAAAACAACATTTTTGAAGTAATTATTCAATCTTTCCTTGACCAATTTTTAGCTTTTTTGTATTTCCATGATAGTCATAAAAAAATTTAGAAAAGGTTTTTACTCTTGGAAAAGCGAAGTAAGACGATTTTCCATGCGAAAATACTGTGTAGGGCAAGTACAACCATTCTTTGCAATATTATTTACCTTTCTGGATTTGTAGGACAGAGGGAGTTGGAGGGCCGGGCACTAGCTTGCTGGGGTGAGAAAATGTGAAAAATTACCTATACCAAAAATATTTGATTATTTTTTGCATGTTATGTATCTCAAGGAAAAGAACTTCCCATCCAATAAATAATTTTTCACCTTTGAGTAATACTACCGTTTGTTAGCTATTATAAACAATTCAGTAAGGTTTGACTTCAACTCCGATACATGGGAATGTTTGCTTAAACATCTTTACTTATTGAATATCTTATTGAACGCGACACCTTAAGTTTACTATCAAATGGTGAATTATTTCAATAATGATTTACAGCTGAGCATGGATGTACACTACTTCCATATAACCACGAACATTTTAATTTTGCTTTTGGAAATTGTTGGCAGTTTGTCTGAATGAGTTGCCAATTCTTTCTGTAATTTTTTATTTGGTTGCCGATTTTTAAATTAACCTTTTAAATACAAATGGGAAAGAGGTTTCCCCCAGAAGCATTTCAACCCAGCCGTCACAAACGGGATTCGTTTTGGCTTTGACCTCCAGAGGCAGCGCGTCGGCTCTTATCTATCACTTGCTGACGGATGGCAAGATGCGGGCTCTAATTCCATACCCTGGAGCTCAGGTCCTAACACTATGCAGGCAGGATGTGGTTGAATGGAGTACGGTCTTTGCGGCAGGAAGAGCGAGCATAGTGGACTGTCTGATATTTCTTGCTTTTTAACAGTGCGCCACGGCTCGTAAGACATAGGGGAATATTGGATCGCCAGTCAAACCTTCGCTCGGAGACGCATTGCGATATCAATAATAATAATAATAATAATAATAATAATACTAATATAATAATAATAATAATAATAATAATAATAATACATATAATATAATAATTATAATAAATCCTGAAAACATTATTTTATGTTATGTGCTAGAATTCCTTATTTGTTTGTAGATTTTAAAATATGGTCTGTGGGTTACGCATGCTTGATAATTTCAATCTTGTGGTATCCCATGTGGCAACCAAAATTGAAGAATAAAACAAAATAATAATAATAATACATAATATACTAATAACAATAATAATAATAACAATAATAATATAACAATAATATAATATAATAATAATAATAATTAATATCACATACCAACACTAAGACAGAATAACGCTTTAGGTTTTCTTTTATGTGGAATTTGGGTAAGCGCATGGCATATACATATAAATCCTAATTAGTTCATAATTATAATTACATTAAATTTTCATAGGTAATAATTCAACTTGTGGCAGAAATAATTTTTTCTAAAGTAGGAGTAACAATGGGGTAAACTCATGTTTATAGCAATGCAATAAATTACTTATTCTTTATATTTGTTTAGTATTGTTTTGTATTATTTGCTATGTCTTAATAGTTTATTGTTTAGGTATAAACCATCGTCCTGGTTCTATACAAATATCTCTTCAGCCTAACAAAGTTTCTCTTTTGTTAGGGCGCCTTCTTCTTTAGTCCCTTGTACTTATATGCAACGCTTCACTGTGTACCACCTCCCGTCACTCACCATAGTCCAAACAAACCCTCCTTGGCCCACACTTCTCATAGGCGATCGCAGTCGCGTTTTGCTTTTGCTAAATATTCTAAATATAAAGACATTGTTAACATGAAATGCAACGTTGTGAAGACGGGGTGGGTGCTATAAAGAATGAAAAAAAGTAAAAAAAAAAAAAAAGGATCATTGCATAAAATAATATTATTTCATTTTGCAGAGGAAAAGTTTACACTGTCTTACTCAGTTAATCCCTTTAAATCTCTATCAAGAAGGATTTTCAAAAAAAGTCCATACCGCTAGGAGTGCAGAAGGAAAAAAACTCCATAGCTAAAAGGTTAATTCACGTAGTATTGTAGGTTACCGTGTTTTCATTTTTTTATTCATTTATTTCAGGCTGTTTTACTATAGTTAATTGAAAAAGTTTGTTCTTTGTATTGTGCCATAGCACAAGTATACCCCTACTATCTCCATATAGCAGTACAAGAACTCGCGCATGTTAAACCCACACTCTTCTCTGTCTTCCCATTTCCATTCTAAGAGGGAAAGTTGTTAACGAAACATATTAATTTGTTTAACAATGTATTAAGGGAACTTCTAATGTACTAACTTAATATCAAATGAGAATAAAAAACAATGCAAATGTTGAAAAGAAATTTTCAATACTATATACTACAATCATACTTTCAATACTATACAATCATACTTTCAAAGAAATTTTCAATAAAGATTTATTCAGTATTATCGAAAGATTTCTTGGAACAATTCACAACACTTCCTTAAAAATATTTGAAGTAATTATTCAATATTCTTTGACCGTTAGCTTTTCACTTTTCATAACAGTCACAAAAATATTAATAAAGCTTTTTACTCTTGAGAAAGCTACATGACTGAACATGACTTGAAAGTTTCACCAAATCACTGCTGATCACTACAAAATACTGGTTCAGGTAAAACAAACAAACCATACCTAATAATGAAGACATGTCTTTATTCTTTACTGTACACACACCATACCTCCACAATTAGGTACACAACCTTGAAGACCCCTACACGCATAAGAAACAATCTTCATTGGTATCAAGCAACTATTAGTACTTCTAGTTGTTGCTGTGAAAGCTAATCTTGAATGAATAATTACGCTAATATATCTCGTTTGTTTGCGAAAACCATAAGAGGTATGTGAACTACAGAAATAATTTAAGAGACTATCTACTGGTATAGATGATATAACTGGAAGTGTAATTAAATATATAGCCAAATATATAGTTAAACCTTTAACCAATATTTTTAACTTAATAAAGGTAACTGGTATTTTTCCTCACCGTTTAAAGAACGTAAAAGTGATACCTGTATCTAAAGGCAGAGATGAAAATAGGTTCAGCAATACTACGGTAGTCCAAATGCTGCTACTTCACCTCATGTTTCATTGTTCATATTATATAAATTCCCCTCCTATATTATTTCATTAGTATAGATGAGCATTGTGGCTCTCACACACAACTAATGTTTATAAATGAAGTCTCTAAAGAAAGAGAATTTCATGGAGACGTGATGAATTTTACTTCGACTTTACAATACGAAGGATTTGTTGATAAAAGACGCATATTAACATTCACGTAAAACACAATCTACAACAGTAGGACAGAATTGTGAAAATGTATTGAGTTAAACAACTCCTTAACAAACCGTTCTAGGGCCTTAAAGTTGGTAATTTTCAGGCCAGTGGTGTCAAAGACATGTTCTTCGCACCGCAATCTGTTGAACGAGAGCTTCTTGGACATTTTATTAATTTTTGCTGGGCTTCTCGATACTACCCCATGTGTTCCAAGTCCTGCAGAATCTGTAACTTTACGTGAAATTAAACTACTTACTGATATTAGAGGTGACTGAATCACACAGGTGTACCTCTCGGTTCGATATAAAGTTAAATAATATTCCAAAGTGTAGGGTTGAACTTGCCTGATGCTGTATTTTTGCATGGAATACTTTATGTAGCTTTCTTACAGAGTAAAATGCTTTTCTAATATTTGTTTGACTATCAAGGAAAGGGCAGAGCTAACTGTCATGCAAGGTTGTCTAATTACTTCAAATGTTATTTTTAAGGAATTGCTATGAATTGTTCCAAGAAAATGTATCAATAACACTGAATTCAAAATTCAACACTTTATTCAAAATTTGTTTCAAACATCAATTTTATTGATTGTTATTTTTATTTCATATTCTAATAAAGATGTTTTGTTAACAACCTTAACTCTTAATACGGAAATGGTAGAGAAGAAGGTGGAGTTTAAAATGCATGAGATCTCGCACGGGTATGCTACTTGTTATAAATAAAGAGCTTGGCGGTAATGTTTCACGAGATATCTGTCTGGTTTCCCTCTGAGCTGGCTCTCATTAAATAAAAATACATACATTAATGCATAAAAATATAAATACATAAAAATACATTGCTGTTAATAAATTGATACATCAGTCATAACTTCCCTCCACATCTTGAGTATTACATTTTTGTTTCTTAAGCATATACTGGACAGAATCGCTTAGAGACATTTTGTTTCCCCACTCCTATCTCAGCCCCCGCCACCCACTTTGTGCAGCACGAAAAGTTTACGCCATGAGGCACTTACCTGCCCGCCTAAGCCTTTGAATGGGAAAAATATAGAAAAAGGAAAGTTGTTGCAGATTTGAACTTGACTTCCCCCTTTATCCATGTCAGGCACAGATAGCTTGAAAGGTGACAAAGAGACGAGGTTGCCAAATTACCAAACAAGAACAAGTACTCTCAGATAGGGATTAGGAGTTAACTTAAAGACCCCATATATGTGAACAAATTTGTATTTTCTCAAACCAGTAGTTATCTTCAAAAATAAATATATCTAACCTGGTTCTTCAAATGCTGGGCTAACTGCTTCTGAATAGTTCATTGTAGTCTTAATGCATACACCAGCATCTCCATCAGTAATATTTCCTTTAACCCAAATATACTGATAAACCTGAAAATAATGGAATTTTATTACAAAAGCAGTTTGGAAAACTAAAATATAAAAGGACTCAAAAGCCCATAATAGCTCCTATCTTCACTCGTATAGAATCTCAGAGCGACCTATGTTTTAGATTTTGATTTAGTAACAACTGAGATCAGAGATCAACTGAGGAGCAGTTAGTTGATTTTAGTTAAAGGTTAAAAGCAAATTGATTCAGTGATCTGTCTATTCCACAACAAAACTATATATAAATAAATGGAAATGTGCACATCTGTCACAATAGAAGCAAGACCTACTCGACTGATTTCACTGAAATTTTCACTCTCTATTCTTATTAATTATTATCAGGAGTATTTAAAGAGAGGTTTGAAATAAATTGGACATATTGGGGTGTTGTTTTTACTTATTTGCAAGTTAAATGGATAAGGTGGGCTCTTCCCGATTCCCAGAGGACTGCTTGAAGAGCAATTGATGGAAATTGAACTACAAGCCATGCTTAGACTCATAATATCAAAGTTGCGATCTGAAAGCAGGAAGTAACAACCAAATGCTGGTGGTGCACAACATTATTTGAATACAATTTGATTTTTAAAGTGTAGTAATTACATAATTGATCTTCATTGAATAAATTGATTTAGAACTTGAATTGTACTAAATACTCTGCAATAGTGAAGCACTGCCGGGCCCTCTAGATCTAAATAGAAGTCTGGCAGGATAACTGAGACCTTTATTAAAAGGGAAATACAGAAAGAGAAATGTTAGGTATAAATTTTTAAGGGACTATATTTTTTCTGAAAATTTCTTATATACACTTCAAATTTCAGTATGTGAAAATGGTATTAACGTTACTTGTTCCCATTAAAGCTAGTTTGTCGTAATATTTTACTTACTAGCTACTGCTTATAAGAAAGTCAAAACATGGATAAATCCACTTGCTTAATTTAGGGGGAGGGTGGGGATCCTCTAACTTCTAACAAGTGATGTAGCCAGAATCTTTTTCATGGGTCCTTGATACTGAAAAATTGATTGACGGCAAAACGTCTGTCCGTCAGTCCGTCCATGAACAACTAGCGGCGGCAAGCGGCTAAACTGTTCAGCCAATGTTCTCCAAAATTGATATTTCCCAATTGATCTGGCTAATGTCGTGGCCCTTTGAATTTGAAACACACATTTTAATTTTCAGAGGTACCTTACATACCCCCCCCCCCGGAATACTAAAATAAACTTTTCTAAGTTAAATTTTGTAGTTGGTTACTGTGAAGGACATTTAACAGAATGGTGCAGGTCTCATTTATGTTAAAATCCCAAAATTTTTCGAAAAATCGCAAAAGTTCAATTTTTGATCAGTGTCTTCCTATAACTAAAATATTGAAGATAGAGGTTTTTTCCCTAGATGAAATGTGTTCATCACGAACAGATCTTCAAATAAGGTGGTTTAATTATTCAAAAATATGAGTGATTATTGAAATATTGGGTGATTTTGTGTGAAACATGGCCGCTTTTAAAACCATTTTAAACAATATTTTTTCTTAATAACAATACTTCTTTAATTTTTTTCTTGTATATAATGAAGTGTGGTATATAAAATTACTCTTGTTTCATTTTATTACTTTTGAACTTATGTTTTTGAATTTCCTGCACAGGGCCCTATAACTCCCATATAACGTGGTGGAGACCATTATGGTGGCACGCTCTGCTGCATCGCCTTCTTTACACGAACTAAAACACGAACTACTACCAACGATACTTTAAACGTACGCGGTTTCTGTGTGAGTTCGCGGGTCACAAGCAGGCCCATAATGTTATAAAAGATAACGTCTATATTCGCGCATTATTCAGAGGTTTCTTATAAGTATAGATTATGAATAATAGTACATTTATATGACACTTTTCGTATTTCTCACAAATTAGCCAATTTGTATGTGGGAAAGTTGGCGAGCCTAACCTGCAGCTGCACCTGGCGACACTAGGGCTTCCTATAGTAGCAACCTCGAGCTTTGTCCCCAGTTTTGATAGAGAGTTGCCGGGCCCTGTTCCTGCACTTCATTTGATGAGCTGACTGTGTGAAATTCTTTTGAATTCTTCTCTTTGTTGGACAAACATGGAACCATTACGAGGCTTAGTTTTATTACTTCTTTTATTTACTTATATACATTTATTTATTTATTTATTTATTTTATTTACTTATTTATTTATTTACTTATTTATTTATTCATTTATTGTTTTAAAAAACTGTTGAACTGTGTGTGCACTATGGGAAAGAAATGTATTCTGAAACACTTTCTTAAATTCTGGGGTCCCTACTAGTGATACGACATCAATAACAAAACATTGATGTTAAAATTAGAATATCAATGCTAAAAATACATTGACTAAAAACCATTGATGGTTTTAGACTGGCTTAATAGCCTCAAATATCAAATTCATGTGCATTAAAATTTAATTTGACACTTCGTGTTTATCAATTCACCGAATAAGAGTACGAGAAGGGGCAGCCCTATGCCCACAGCATATTTGTTGGCCATATCTCACTGTGCGAAATAAATATGAAGAAAGAGGAAATACAAGGGCATAGAGGTCATTCCAGGCGTGAGTGTTTGGTTGGTCGATGAAGGTAATGCAAACAGCGGTCCTTTAGTTCCAACATTGAATAACAGTGTTACTATCAATTATCCATTTTTTAACTTTTACAGTATTGTAATCATGGGAATTTTTCATTCGGAAACAAAACATCAGAAAAGAAAAAACATCGATGTTAATACATTGATTGTTAATACAGATGGAAATGAGAGTTTGTTTTTCAATAATGAGAATTTGAGGGAATTTTCTTAGATGTGGAAACATAAGAATCATTTAGCATTTCATGTTCAGAGGACGAGTAACATGTAATTCATGTTAAAACGAGCATAGTTGGAGTTATATCATAGTTGGAGTTGGAGTTATATAGTTACATATAATATAGAATAATACTATAGTATTTAATAATTACTATTATACATTTTTTCAATCTATTTGCATTTGCTTGTCAACCTTATCAGTGTTACTGCATTGTAAAATGTACAAAACAAATAAATCATCCAGTTGATTAAAAGCAGCGCTGGCTCCAATGCCCTACCGTGAGCCACTGCTGCTGGTGGATGTACTATTTATTAATTTTTAATTATTTTTCTTTGTCGCTTACTGCTTATGCAGAATGTTGTAAGACTAAAATACGCATAGGATATGTTGGTGAAAACACTGAATACCATACCCACTGAATTCAATGCCAGAATAAAGATTTTCATATAAAGTTTTGAATAAAAAAATATATTTGTCACACTATTTATTTATCTGTCTAAGCAGGAATCAATTGGGACACAAAAATTCCGGTTTAGGGAGGTTCAATCCTGGGAGGCCCTACACCTACCTACGCCTTGAGTGGTTGAATTCTATTTTGAAAGCTGAAGCCTGTCTCCTTCAACATCCAACTGCCATGTCTAAATCACATGTCAAAGGGATAGAGAATACAAAACAAGCTTGCAGATGCATTCATTTCATTAAGAACATCTCACCACTCTCTTGCACCAATTGCGTTAAATTCACAGGAATTCCGCTTTATAAAGATTTTTCCTTCTACAAGACATACAAAACCATTCCATTTCCAGGTTGGAGAGATCCCATTTTATGCTGCGTAAAATGCAATTAACTTCATGGGCCATTTAATATCAGTGAAGTCATTAAAAAGTTCACTCATTACATTAAGGAAAGATTACTTTCATAGGACAAAACAATATCCAAAGGTCTTGGTAAACATGAAACCTGTGCATATTCATGGATATGCAGTATTTTCTGTTGTAATTTTTCTACAGCTCTTGCTTCTGTGAAATGTAATCACACAGCTTCACCAAGTTCTGTATAAATTCTATTATAAATAAATCTTACCTGTTGTAATGGATTATTCACACAGTCTTTTTCAGTTTTATTAACAAAATCTCCAGTGAGGTATGCAAGGGTTTGACCAGTAAGAGATGTTATTTGATAATTAGGCCCCCGCCATGAATGTACTCCAACATACAAGCTAGCAGGCTCATCATTGAGCATCATATTGAACGATGCTTGTTGAAATAACGAACAATTCATTTTTTTCAAGTAACAATGAAATATTTCATCCACCTAAAACAACAAATATTTAATTAAGTTAATATGTATTAACAGATACAACAACAGCTAACAAAGTTAATTTTTCACACATTTTCAACTTAAAATTCTTAATAAAAAACATCAAAAATACGCCAGTAGATCAAATTTACACACTTTACACATCCAAGTAAGTAATAAATGTATACGCTCACAATTAATACATCTGCTTGTACTGTTCCTGTGTATGTCTTCCCCATCAACATTTTATACAATGTGTGTCCAAGAGTAGTTGATACATTTGCCACAAAAGCTTGGATAGAATTTGGTGATGGCATATTTCCATTCTGATACTCATAATCTAGAGCTTTTGCATCATCAAAAATACTGTGGTAATATCTGCAAAAGTTTTCACAGGATTAATAATAAATATTTATTTAACACAGAAGTATTACTTTTAAAGGTACACAACTTTATAGCAAATAGTACATTCCAATATTTTTATAACTGCACTACATACATAGTATAGAGAAAGTATTGTAATGCTGCAGCAAAAACTGTAATTTTTCAACAGAAACCTAGTAATGTGGAGCCCTGATACCAAAAAAGTAGATAAATCTTGTTCGAATATAAATATAATCGTAATAAATTACTTCTAACACATTGTGAAATAACAATCCACATTTTGTGAGTCCCTGAACAAAAATGTTGTTGAAGGCAAAATGTCAATGTGTGTGTATGTGTCTGCCTGTCCCTAAACCTTACAGCCTAATTCATTCCGATTATTTTCACCAAACTTGATACTCTCCTTTCGATCTGGCTGATGACAGAGCCCCTTAAATTTGACATGTATATTGTATTATTTTTCGAAAATTGCAAACTTTCAACATTTTCTTCAGCATTTTCCTGTAACTACAATATTGAAGATAGAGAATTTTTCTAAATGAAATCTGTCGTTCAAACACAGTTCATGTACAATTTATGGAAAATAAGAGTTGTTTTCACAGAATTTTGCATTAAATATAAGCAAAATTTTCCTCTATGTAGCAAAGTTCGATTAAAAAAAGTGGTGCTGATACAATTTTCACCAAAGTCTGCATTTTTGAAAATTGCAAAAAATTGAGATTTTGTTTAATAAAATTTGTTCTAAAAATTATAACATTACATTAGATCATGCACTTTTAAAAAACAAGCAGTTTTCACTTATTTTCTGCTTAAAGTTAACACAACCGATAAAATGCAAAAACACAAAACCAAC